CAGCAGCACTTACCTAGATGCAATATAGTATTGGAAAAAGGAGAAAACACATTTTATTTTATTTTTTAAAAGGCAATCATTTACGGTACACAATGCTTTAGTAAATTAAATGTCATTCAGATAACATATGAATTTTAAGCCCTCATTCCCACTAGAAACGGCCGGCACGTACAGCTCTGTGCTGCATCCACGGCCGTATCGGGCAGCTCCTGGTAAGGACAGGAGCTGCGTGTGATTAGTACGCAGCACCCGTCCTTCTCTATGGGACTACGCGGCCATACGCCCCCCTACGCTCACCTCAAGTGCATGTCCATGCGGGTGCGTGTTTCCTGACTCGGACGCAGACAGGATCCATCCTGTCAGCGTACGACTACGCTCACCCGTACCCGCACAGACGTGCAGGGCGGGTGAGCGTAGGGCGGCATATGGCCAGGTAGTCCCATAGAGAAGGAAGGGGGCTGCGTACTAATTACACGCAGCACCTGTCCTTCCCGGGAGCTGCCCGATGCGGCCGTGCACGCAGCACGGAGCTGTACGTGCTGGCCGTTTCTAGTGTGAATGAGGGCTTAAAATTCATATGTTATCTGAATGACATTTAATTTACTAAAGCATTGTGTACCGTAAATGATTGCCTTTTAAAAAATAAAATAAAATGTGTTTTCTCCTTTATCCAATACTATATTGCAACCACTGCAACATACTGCTGCCACTTTTCAGCCACTTGCTGTCCAAATGCACATGGCTACATGGCAATTCTCAGCTTGGGTATTCTGATGGTGACAACACTGGACCATGTCTGCATGTCTGGAAGTTCCTCAAGGGCAGGAAGTGATGTGAATAAGCAGTATGTAAAGCAGTGCATAAGTGGTCAGCGCTATATAAATACCTGTAATAAATAAATAAAATACATTGTAGATTTCACCTAAATCATTGTCTGATGATAAAATGTGCTGTTGTGGCACTTCTTTAAAGTACAGTGATTTTTAACGCCCTATGATTGTATTTTTGGAATTGGGCATGGGATCCTGTTGTCTCACAGAAGGCTGTGAGAGGAGGGAAGCCCATTATGTTACTATACTTCAGGACATGTAACTAAGAGTATATATCCACCATTCTTGGGCACCTCCTTTAATAGCAAAAAGTCAGTAAGAGCCCAGACAGAGTACAATTCTGGTGTTGTCTGTAGCCCAAAGCCAACCACAGCTCTCCTGGGATCTTCTAATTTACACTAGAAAAGAGACAGCTGGGACTTGCCTGGATGCCTTCATGATCTGGTGTTCCTGAAATTGAAGTAAAGCTAGCCATACACCTTAAAGGAGAACTATGACATGAGTGATTTCCACTCACGTCATAGTTCTAAGCCGACCTGTGACAATGAGACTGTCACAGGTCGGCTCAGTAGATCAGGAGGTGAGGGAAAACATACCGGGTTCCCTCACCTCTCGATCCTGTCACGGCTCTCTGCCGTGACAGGGGGAGGGTCTGGATGCCCCTCTCCCCGCTCCGATCTGCCAGCGCTGACTGGCGGAACGGACGGGGGAGGGGGCGGATACAGCTGGCTCTGCCTCTAGATAGGCAGAGCCAGCTGTCACTCACGCAGCTGGGCGGATCCCGTCATCTAAGTCGGGATCCGCTCCAGGTGCGGCGTCTCAGTATACCGCGAGCTGTAGCTCGCGGTATACTGAGCTTAGGGTGACGGGAGGACGCTAGTTTGTGTCCTCCCGTTACCCCTAGGAGAACTATGGGGAAAAACACTGACCCCATAGTTCTCCTTTAAATTGACACTAAACTCAAAAGAAAAAATCTTAGAGATGCATTCAAGTACCTACACCAATCAGCTATCTTATCTACACTGTTTGCAATGCTGTATGGTGTGCAGCAGGCACTTTCAGAACCTCACATATCTAACACATGTGGCATTTCAGAAAAAAACTAAAATCTATATAAAAATATACTTCCCTCATAAATTACCCATGCCTCGTTCTACCAGGCACATGAAAAAAATTGATGTCTAGCTACACTTTATTCTTAGCATGTCATAGTTGAGTAGATCTGAAAAAAAGCAGCTACCGAAGTGCAGTATTTTAGCCTTCTATAATCAATGTATACTGTCCTATCAATTAAAGTGATACCTTCAGGCCAGGTACACACCATTTTCCGGACGAGATCTGGAACGTGGTGCATTGCAATTTTATCACGATTTTGCCGCGTTCCGGTTCTTTTTAAAAAAAAAATGTTTATCTTACAATGGGTTTTCAGTTGTGTCACGTGTGGTTTTTTTGCGTTTCGCGTGTTTTGGTGCGTTCCAAACCAGTAAAAAATAAGACATGCAGGATTTGTTCAGTCTTGAATGGAAAGCACTGCAAAGGTGTGAACTGTAGCCCAGAAATCACATAGGGATACATTAGGATGCGTTTTTGGTCTGAGGAGCTAACTGTTCTGGTCTGGACAGAATCTGGACATCGTGGGAACAAGCCCTCACTATTAACAAAATTGTATCTTATTTGTGTATCACTCGGCTGCAGATCCTCAAATCATCTCTGAATTTGTGCTGACACTGTTTTTCCTTCTGGAGGGTGGCTACTTTTGTTCCCCATGGCCCATGTGTATGTTGTAAAGTAGACACCGCTCCAAGCTCACTCCTGTGATGGACTACAATCTCACAATTAGTTTACTCATATGTATTGAGATTGCAGTCCATCACAGGAGTGAGGTTGGAGTTGTGTCTACTTTAACACACACAGGGACCATGTTGGACAAAAGTAGCCACCCCCCAGAAGGAAGGACAGTGTCAGCACCAATTCAGAGATGATTTGAGGATCTACAATTCTCTGGAACCTGCATTAGATGTAAACACATCAGTTGACCACTGGAGCCCAGGGTTGAGGAGGCTATGGGGATTGGTCTAGCAGCCCTGAGGGAACCGGCAGGAGCGGGGATCGGGTAAATAAATCTGCTTTACGCCAGCCCCCAGACAAAAATGAGCATTTAACCGTTTCAGGGTGGGGATAGACCCATTGCAAAGGTACTTTTATTGTTTGCCCTAACATCATGGATAGAGGAATCCAGTGATTTATCTTAAATCCTATCTCCAGTCGCAGGCACTGATTGACTGATGCTATTATATGGCGGCCAATTTTCCACCCAGCTTCAATTTTGAAAGTTTGTTAAGCCTGGTGGTGACAGGAGGGCCACCCATGGATCAAATTTTGTCCAGCAGGAAATGGCTGAATTTCAGTCCATGTATGGCGAGTTTAAGATTCAAATTAGTCAGGTTTACTAAAGGGTATCAAATTAGTCCTCTGAATTAGGGTTTACAGCAAACACCCAATGAGGTGATGGTAACTTAAAAAAAAAAAAGAAGTTCCATCAACTTTTAGGTCTGCCAATCTTTCAGCATAAGAGTCTCATCTGTAGTGAATCCTCTCTTTAAGGAACAATGGGATTAGAGGATTAGCTAGGAAGTCAGAAGGAACACGAGGGTGCCACAGCACCCTGGTTGAGAAAGGCTGGTCTAGATCATGCCAGTATGTACTAACATGATCTGGGTTGCCAGTTTTAGGCAGAAAATTTAAAATCGGCACCAAAAAACCCTCTACAAAAAACACATATAAATGTTAATACCCTGAATGCTTTTTTTTCTGTTACTGTTTGCATTATAATTAAAATATTTGGGATTTTAGCTTCTATTTCGAAGCACCAAAACAATGTATACCAATACAAACCTTATACAAGAACATTTTCAACAGGAGGGTGCAAGATATACAATACTCAGGAGCTACATTGCATTTCTGAAAAAGGTGCTTCGGGAAGGCCATTTCCCTCTAGGAATCTACCTGTCCTGATTCTCCCACTTCTAAGTTTTGGTAACCTCCCATATCTATTGTAAGACATGTATATTAGTCCTTAAAGGACCAATTTTTAGGTACATGCTTTCATAAGAAGGAGACAGAAACTTGTTATTTTGTCTGTTATTTCAAGTAAATCAATACGAAGCCACTCACACAATGCAAGGTCGATGAGTACTCATACATAAGAAGTTAAAAAACGGAGTCAAAGTCCAACTGTGGGCACCTTATTATCATAAGATTAAACTGCTTACTAGGTATTCACCTCTGCCATTTAGGTATTTACTATTTGCTTTCTTTAAACATTTTGAAAATACATTGTCACTAGGATAGATATAAGGCAAATTCTACCCAGTGGGGCCACAGTTAAGAAAACCAAACACCAGTTCCAATCCTGCCCCACTCTACCATAACCATTTATGCCAATATAAACCTTATGCCACAACATTCTGAACAGGAGGCTGTGAGATATACAATAAGACTCTGAAAAAGGCCCTTCACAAATGCCATTTCCCTCTAGGAATCTACCTGTCCTAATTCTGCCACTTCTCATTTTTAGTAAACTCCCCGTGTCTATTGTAACACAGGTATATTAGTCGTTAAATGAACAATTTGTAAGTACATGCTCCCATAAGGAGGAAGAAGGGGCTTGTTATTTTGTCTCTTATTACAAGTAAACTAATTAGAAGCCACTCACACAATGCAAGGTGGACGTGTACTTGCCATAAGGGATTAAAAAACTGAGGTAAAGCCCAACTTCAGTCTTTGTGCATTTTCATTGTTTCTGAGTGTATGCTAGGTGTGTACCTATCCTGTTTAGTTGTTTACTATTTAATTTCTACTAAAAAAAAATGTTTTAATTGTCACAAGGGCAGAAAGTGAGGTAAATTCTCCCCATTGGGGCAACAGACAGTGATAAAAACCTCACACTAGTTTCAATCCAGTCCCATTCTATCCTAATTTTTTTTTTAAATAGATACATGTGCATCTATAAGGACTGGAATGGTCAATGCTAAACTTATTATAGGCATATGGTTACTATAGTTAAAAACTATGTAGGTGCAATATACATTAGCTATGAGTGTATTTATTGGCAATGTTATATATAAATTAACAATGTCAGTATGACAAATATCTATGATTATATTGCAGCGGACATTGAATGACAGTCTCTCCATCGTGGCTTCTCTAGCACCTACGCTTAAAGTAAGTTGTGGCCATTGTAATAAAAAATGCCAATGGTATCCTCTGTTCATAAAATATAAACACCAATCCTCATCTGATCCAATCATTGTTATGGACACTGTCTAAAAAAAAATTACCTTTTTAAAGCCAAAAGTGCATGAACACCTTAGCATCACATCTATATGAGCTTATTGGACATCCCATTGCAAAACCATAGATATTATTGTGAATCTGAATCCCTCCCCCCTATGCAGGGAAGGATTTCCACAAGATTATGGAGGGTGTTTGCGGGAATGTGTGCCTTTTCAGCCAAAAAAGCATTTGTCAGGTCAGGTACTAATGTTGTATGAGAAGACTTAGTTCACTCTAATAGTTGTCAGTAGCGGTCTCTATGAAGCCCACCTACGTTCCTCCAGAGTCCACACCATACTTGTCAAACTATGTTTTTTTTGGAGCTGGCTTTGTGCATCTGAGCTAAATCATTAGGAGAGATTTTAACATATTTTTGGCCAAATCGTTTAATACTAGGTCTAGAAACAGATCAGGGGATGGTTGGATGGGTTCACATGGCCAGGGTTACCATCACCTGCATTATGGTAGGGAGCTGAGATCCTCTACACAATGGGCTACATACATATTGTAACGTGTGTGAAGAAAGATCAGGTATTCTTGTCCATTTGAATTAGCCAGTTCTGAATGAGGTTCAGTTATTTCTGTGGAGGTAACTGCTTCATGGCCAGGAGGTTTATCACGATTTAGAGATTTGACAGCTGTCTTGTTTTTCAGTCCATTTTACTGCATCTGATAGTGTTTGTAATGCTAGATACAGATGTCTTCTAATACCATAGATTGATAGATAAGCTTTTTATTTTTTAGTTACATAGCCAAAAATGTTGTTCATATAGCTGTTTCATAGGCCCCACCTACAGATACCCTTAATACAAGTGCCGTACCTTATGCTTGTTTCATAATGTCAAAAAAGGAGCCAACATATTCTTTTCATGGGTAAAACTGATCTGAATGGAAGGAAGACAAGGCTAGCTATAGATATTATTGTTTTTTGCAAATGCAAGACGTGGTTTCACTTACATGATCATGAACTATAATAGCTAGTTCCTGTTAATGTGATCACATGACCAGGAACGATAGCTGGCGCCTGTTGATGTTATCACATGATAAGAAGCTAAAAAATATATATTTTATTTGTGCGTGTATGTGTTTTGTGTTTGTGTGTATTTGTCATTCACTTAGATTGTATTTTTCTGTAATGTAATTAATTAAATAACTTCATAACTTCAGGCTGGTATTCAACGTACAATAGAAGACATCAACTTTCTGAATGGACCTTTGGTGGAGCAATTCATCGAGAGGCTGAGAAATGTAAGTTAAACACAAATCACAACCAGTCCTCATGAGGTCCACACTGTGATTTGATTCCTCAGCTCAAAAAAAAAAAAAAGTAGCAGTTGGTAAATACTGAGAGGGCCTGCCTAAACAATTTGTTTCAATTGCATCCTTTCAGATAGATAGCTGCTGGTAAAATAAATCACGTGTTAGCTGCTTCAAACTCATGGCACCCTGCTGAGGGAAACATCTCTAGATCAGCCTTTCTCAACTAGGTTAACTTCTGGCTTTCTTAGGGGTGCCTCATAATTTTAACACAGCGTCCTGCCTATGCATAGTGCAGGGAAAGGCGGCTGCGCTAGCACAGTAAAAAAATGAATGTCGCTAATCCAGGGAGGGAGGGATCCATTGAAAAAAGAATGGAAGTTCGCCTCCATTCAGGCCTGGATGGAGCTGCATCTCCTGATGTGATAGTAGGACTCTGGTGAGAAGGCTTCTGAAGTGAAGGAGGAACTCTGATGTGAAAGGGGGCTTGTTTTGTGAAGAGGAGCTTGTCATGTGAAGGTAGACTCTGATGTGAAAGAGGGAGACTCTGAGGACCCGTTCACACCATTCAGTGCATTCCTCGCACAGTCCCAGGGGATGAATGCACTGGATCACATAAACAAAGGCTCCCCTCGTTCTTAGGCGGGAAAGGGCGTGGTGCCATTCATTTCAGTGGCACTGCAGACAAGCCTCCCACCTACAGTGTGATTGCCCACACCAGGCATAGTGAATAGTGCAAGCACTTTTTTTGTGATCGCACCACAATGGAATGCGGAGCATTGCAGCATCACACGTTGCGTTGTGGGCAATCGCACTGCGGGTGGAAGGTGTGTTTGCGCTGCCATTGAAATGAATGACACCACCGTGCCCCCTCTCACCCCAGAACACGGGGAACCTTTGTTTATGCAATCCAGTGCGTTCATCCTACGGGACTGTGCAATGAACGCAATGGATGGTGTGAAAGAAGGGAGCTTGGATGTCAAGGGAAGCTTTTGATGTCAAGGGGGGCTCCTATTGTGAGAGGGTGTGAAGGGAGTGGGCTCCTGATGTGAAGCGGACTCCCGATGTAAAGAAGCACTCTGATGTAAAAGGAGGAATTCCTGTCAGAAAGGGGGGCTCTGATGTGAAGGGAGGAACTCCACTTATTTTTGGTGTGTTAATGTGTCCCCCCATAAAATCCATACCAGACCCCTATCTCAGTTAAAGGTTTGGTATGGACTTTGGAGGGACCACACCTTTTTTTTACATTTATGGTTATTTTCATTTTAGACTGGGGTGCCTTTAGATTTTGCATACTTTTAAAGGGTGCTGTGACTGAAAAAAAGGTTTAAAAACACTGCCCTAGAAAAAACCCAGTTAAGCTGCCCAAACACTACTTGAATTTAGGCCGATTCCTGCTTCATTGCCCGAAATTTTCAGACTTCTTTCAAATCTTTTTTGAGTTTTTTACACAAGTCAAAGCACATTTGTCCTACGTTTTGTCACGTTTTTTCAGCTTGTGCTATCCCTGATTTTGTTTCCCAGTGTTTTTTTTCAGAGGAAGGCTGGCTCCTGCTTGATAACTGCACAAAAAAAACATAAAACATGCGAGAACACTTGTGTCGCATGTTTCCAAGCATTTCTATTGAAGTCCATGGGGCTAAAAGTACAGAAATCTGCGGAAAAGTAGTTCATGTACATTTTACAGTGGCCGGCAATTTGCTTCAAGCGGCATAATGCTCAGATGTGAACAGGGGCCATGAAAAACAATGGGGTTCCATGTATGTTTTGTGGCACCAAGCTTTGAGGCAAAATGCCTAGGTGTGAATGGCAACTCATAGCCATGGCATAGCTTAGCCTCCTGTTAAGCCTTTTTATATCTAAGTCTCTGCTGAACTTCCAAAGGGAGTGTATGGAGAACATCCCTTCAGTGAGACAGAGCTCGGGTCCCCTTTCAAATCTTTACACACTGGCATCCACCTAAACTAACTGATAATTTAGTTGCACTGGTCTTTTAAGGTGCCTATTTTTATGAAAATGCATTAACTGTTATTTCTGGTTATTTCACTAGGAAAGCAAGTGTCTTCTCAACCAAGCTTTAGGATACTTTTCCAAGTACATAGACTGGGTGAAAACAACAGTAAGTAGCATAAAATTGTTTGGTAATGAAAAAGAGAGATCTTACTGTTCCTTCAGTTTCGTTTGGGATTGGGTGTGGAGTATAAGGAAGAAGCATCTACCTCACTTTCCCATGCAACAATTCAAACTCCCTCTTCCTGTACTGTGTTCTAGTTTGCCTTTTGGTTCAATCATGTCAAGCCTCATGTCAAATCCCACCTCCTTCCCACCTTGACGCAATCCAGTCTTCTTCCATCCAATCCTCCCTCCAACTGTGTAAACTGCCTGGGTCACATATGTGTCCAACAGTGATGGAGGCACTGACAGAGGAAACCCCAGCATTTGTCAGATAAAGAGGATTCTCCAGTCATCGTTGCTCTTAAAAGAAAGTGAAAACCAGTGGCGTGGGAATCTGGACAGGTAAGTATCATCTCTCTATATATTTGTCACCAAAATAAGTGTCCCCATTGGAAGACTTCCCCTCTATTCTTGTTCTGGTGACAGCTCAACATTTTTGTATTTTCTCCCACTTTCAGTTTTGGCGACAGGGGTCATTAGAACACCATTTGGACAGACAGAGAGGATGATTCGGGAAATACACTGGGAAACCCCTCTTGTAATACAATATACAGTAATACCTCAGTTCACGACCCACTTCTGTTTGCGAACAATTCGGTTCACGAACAGGAAGTTCGGCAAAATTTTGCTTCCGTTCGCAAACTCCAAATCGGGTGACGAACACGACCGCGGCCATCTTCACCGCTCTGACACGTGGTCGTGGCTTCCTCTAGTCGAAATTGCGGTCGCAGACAGACCTGTGCGCACTTGCTGTGAAGCTTTTTTGTGTGCTTTTTAGCACATACAGTACTGTACAGTAATATTCAATCCAGCATGGCTCCAAAGAAAGTGCAGAGCAAGCATGGTGGTAAAAAGAAAGTGCAGAGCAAGCATGGTGGTAAAAAGAAAGTGCAGAGCATTAATGAATTTACATATGGTTCAGAATGGATTTACCTTATTTACATTAATCCTTATGGGAAAATTTGATTCTGTTCGCGACCACGTTCGTAGGGGTCCGAACGGATTAATCTTATTTACATTGAACCTTATAGGGAAATTTGATTCGGTTTGCGACCAAATCGGTTCGCGACCAGAATCGTGGAATGAATTAAGTTTGTGAACTGAGGTACCACTGTATTGCAACAGAATTAAAGGCAAGCAACACAGATATTTCTTTATACATACACAAATCAAAAATATATTTTTTAGAGTATGACATAGAAATGTTATTTATTTTTATTTTCATTTTCTACTAATTGACAACAGGCACCCCAGTTGCTAGTTATTAGTATATGATGAGAAGCACCGCTCCTGTAAATATAGCAATGCTAATTTATAATTAGGACAAAACAGAGGGCCACGTGTAATGGTTCACAATCATTAATTTACTATGTTTATCATTGGTAAGTGATGTATTTATGCAATGCTCAGGGTGTGTACTTCATACCCTGTATTGCTCATTGAGAATATGCAGTTTCCAAATGTTTAACAGGTAAAACCTGTTTATGCTAATATCACTGCTTTTTGAAAAGTATTTAGAGATTGACCTCAGACAGTTGAAAGGGATTTACAATAAAAAATGTAAACCTCTGTACTCAATGGAGCTTTCTTATATAATAGCATGGAGGGGTCTCCATCTCCCATGGCAAGTAAGTAAGATTAAAGTGGTATTAAAGGCCGGCCCCTTTTTACCTTAATGCATTTTCTGCATTAAGGCAAATAACTCCCAGTACCTTTTTGTGTCCCCCTCCCACCAGAATAACCTGTGTCACCACTGTTACTGCCGCCGGTCCCTGGAGTGATCCTCCGTTCCCCAATCTTCCTTGGAGGGGCGTGGTCTGCTGCAGGGCTGTGTGTGTCTATGGACCCACATACAGCTACTGCATGCACAGCCAGGAACAAGCACGCACGGGTGCCTCCACAGCAGCAGGTAAGCTGATGGAGGCACCCGTGCAGGAGGCGGGAGGGAGAGCGATGCAAGGACCCACTAGAAAACGAGGAACTGAACATCTTTAAGCAAAACCAAAAGAGTAAACTGACTAAACATGGAAAATGCAGAGAGATACACAAAAAATATAAATTTTTGTTAATAGTTAAGGTACTTGAATGTATTTTTAAGATTTAATTCCTGAGTTAATTCCTTTAATTCTCACTTTAAGTGGAAATCTGGACCTAAGCCCTGTTAAACATTGTCTGAATAAAATCTTACAGACAAGGCTGTACACTGCAAGTAATGGTAACACTGATGTAGATGGACACGAATAGAATTAAGAGTTAGGGTACTTGAATGCATTTTTAACTGCTTTAGTGTCACTTTAACACAATACAGTGGAAGGTCTGGGCACAGACATGTATATGACCTCACCAGGGATATTTAGCTATATTTAGTAATGTCAGTTCTCCATTTTATAATATATTACTTTAATTTAGAAAGGGGTTTCTCTAAGGTAAAGATGAAACTTAATATAATACACAAGAAAGCACTAATTAATTTATTTTCCAAAAGGTCACCCCAAATATATCATATAACATTCCAATCTTCATGTTAGATTCCCAGCTACTCTAAATCATGCTTCATGGCTCTGCAATGAGCTCTCAGGTTCTGTAAAAGGTTATGATGTGTACACGTGTATTAAACTAGGTGAGGATGGAGTTTTTGTATCCTACTTAGCAGTCCATGAACGGACCCAAGGGTCCTACTTTGTCTTGCTCATCCGACATTATTTTATCAAGCACAATTAATTTAGTTTGTTCCTGCCAGTCAGAGCGTGTACATTTTTGTTGCAGATTACACAGAACATTGCCTCCTGCCGCTCGGTGCCCGCAACGCTTGACAATGCCCGTGTGATTGTCTGCGATAACGTGAGCCACCCTTGGGTGAGTACAGTGCCAAAAAGTGATCCAAGTGGCTTCATAAAAATGTAACAATCCTAGTAGGATGTAAGTGCTTCATTGTGTACACTTTACATAAACTAACAACTGTAAACTTGAACTCCAGGCAAACAGCTAAATACACCAATAAAAACAAATTTAGGAGTTGTTCTACCTACCAAAGGATTTGCATTTCTCTACATCCGGACCATAGATTTACACAGCCCTGCCACACAACACAGCCCTGTCCCCTAGGGCAAGAGACTTGCTTTTTCTTTGCTGCAGTTGGGTAACACGTACAGGTATTCCCCCTCCCCCAGCCTGTGATTGGACAATGAATGGAGAAGCAACAGGCAGATGGGCTCATCTCTCTATCACTCTGCTGTCTCTTCGTATCAGCATGTTCCCTGTTAGCACTGCAAAAAACAATAAATGTGTAGAAAATAAGGAAAATGTTCCACACCTATCTGTGTCCCTTAAGCTAATATAAAATCCTCAAATCATCCGATCAGTGATACTTATAAATAAACACAATTGTTTTCTCACATTATTTTCAGTCTCCACTGAGACTGAAAACTTATGTGCATTGAAAAAAAGTAGTGCAAGCAAAGCACCTGCCGCACTGCAATGCAGGTAGGTGCATTGCACGGTGCTGTGCATTAGTCGCTGCTGGGAGGGAAAACTATACATGACATATTGTTTTAAGTTCTTGTTTTTTAAAGTCCATGGATGGATGAGCTTCAGGAGAGAAGACAGAGGAGGACCACTGGCGTCATTGTTTACTAGGACCGCCCAGCAGTCATTGCAACTAATGACTGCAGAGGAGGACTTCTGACATAATTGGTTGCTAGGATGCCAGTGGTCCCAGCAAGCAAAGTCTGAAGAGAAACACGGTTCAAACATGGACCGATCGTTGACCTACTTTGGGCTCTTGCTTGCAGGGCCTTGCAAGCCAGTGCATCCATTGTCAGCCAGTCATAACAGAGCGCAGGTCAGCGGGCCAGGCAGCCACAGACCAAGGGCTGGATACGGCCTGCAAGGTGTAAAATGCTCAGGTCCGGGTTAGGGGGGCACAAATAAGTAATAATAAATAATAATAATCAATGTGGATGTATGTAACATTTTTCACTCAACAATGGGAAATTCAGATATTGGGCTAATATTGAGGAAAGTGACTTGACGGTGAACGTGTGGGCGATGCAGATGGGAACGTGTGTTGTACTTGACAGATCTAGCAACACAGAAAAAGGTCTAGACATGAATTAGGGAGGGAAAAAAGGGGAATGTGTATGCAGTTTTATAAACCAAATTTAAACAATCATAAAAGGATAGAAACTCATCTTTTCTAACTTGCACTAGACACACTGGGGGGAATTTATCAAAACTGGAGCAGATGTGCATGGCAACCAATCAGCTTCTCTCTTTCATTTTCAAATCTTAACTGAATAAACTGAAGATAGAAGCTGATTGTCATGCACATCTGCCCCACTTTTTGTCTGCTCCAGTTTTGATAAATTCCCTTCAATGTATTTAAATTCCACTTAGTTGATATGAGCAACACATGCGGTTTTCTTTCCAATGTTCAAAATTAACCCCAGGGATCATTATTGGAAATCTGGATGTAAGGATAGAAAAAGGGCTGAGAAAGGGAAACAATTACCATCATTACCAATATTCCCCCATATTCATGAGAAAATTCATGAGAAAAATATGGGTCTCTCATTACTGACTCTTATGTGTCATACTACTTACCTTGCTGCTACAATGATCCCTGGCACACTTTCCAGCTGCTGGAAGCAAAGACAACATGAAGAACATAAGTGGGGGCAGAGGTTACAGGGATGTGGACTGAGGGTAAGGTTTCTGTGAGCAGCCAATAGGACCACCATTAAGGTTTAGCCCGCATGTGGGTAGTTCTGGGTAAACCTAACCCTGACCCAGGTCAAGTAGGCAGGTGTACTGACTTCACTTAGAGCATGTTTGCTTCAGATCTGTTGCTCAAAGTACTCCCACATCTTATGACAGATTTACTTGATATTCTGCCATTGTATGGATGCTCTAAAAAGTATTTTGTTTGTTCTAGAATGGCTTTTGGTTCTGCCTTGGGTGGTGCACCATCCTCCTTATCCCTAACATCTTCCTAAGCATCAAGTCGGAACAGCATATTGCACCCAAATCTCGGTGAGTACATTTCACTCTCAACCCGTTAATGCAAAACAGGGGTAGGCAAACTCTAATGAGTTTAGTGTCACTTTAAGCTCTTTAGGCCTGTGCCCATAGGCGGTAGAGACAATGGAGAGGCTTTAACCTTTACTCTTATTGACCACTTATTCTGTTGCCAGCAGATATACAGTCATCTTCTATTAGTTAATTATACAGCCACAATTTTGTAAAGACAAACTAAACATGGAAAATGTCCTATGTAAAAGAGGTAATCCTAGTAGAATAGGGGGTTCCTATGAGCACTATCGTTTGTGTGCCTAACAGATCCAATGATGGAAATCTAGCGTTGACAGCTCTTCATCTGTCACCTGAAATAAAGAACCAGTAAATGTTCACAAATAGGCTTTTTAGCTCTCTTGATTAAATATTAACCTGAAGTTCACCCAATACGCTGACATTGTTTTACCAATTGCAGTAAATTTGCAGCCAAATTCATAATCAATCGAGAGTAATTATTAGCTGCATCAGGAAAAGACAAGCATGAAGAAAGGAGTAGAAGGAGTAGATCTATACAAACGATGTTCATTTCTGAATAAGGGTCTGGTTCACCAACTTGGGGTATCATGAGTAATAGTGTATCAAGTGTTATCATGTGGTATAGTAACACATATAAAAAAATCATAGCATATTAACTATTTTTATAAGAAAAGTACAGTGTCATTCTAGCAAGTACATATTTTCACAGCTGTTGTGTGTGTGTGTGTGTATGTATCTATGTATGTGTATATGTATATATATATATATATTACCTATCGGTAATTTTCCTTTCCTGACGGCAGCATATGAATGGGTTAACTCCACCCCTCTACCAGTTATACTATAAATCAAAACACGCCTCCCAAGGCAACCATTCTCGCAACAATTACTCAATACGAAAGCCAAGGGAGGAGGGTCCCGTATGCTGCCATGTATTTCGTCAGGAAAGGAAAATTACCGATAGGTAAGTATACAATTTTCCGTTTTCCTGACACCAACATGGCAGCATATGAATGGGACATAGCGATCACACAAACAGGGAGGGTAATGCTGAGATATTTATCTATTTACACAATTGTTAAACACATTCAGAACCAAACTTCACCATGGACAAGACTCCTGGATAGACCCGGTAATGGGAAAGGAACATATACCAGGTAACTGCCTTCCAGTATAACTCTAGAGATACACCACTAAATCTGTCCATAAGGATGAAATCCTTTAGTAGAGTGAACCCTGAGATTGATCTGTGGCTCCATCTGTTTGACCAGCCACAATGCATGTGACC